GAAGTTTCAGATCCCTTAGTTTCTCTTCACAAATTCTTGGTTGTGCGAGTTTTGGCTCACACACGAAGTAGAAGGAGCTGGCGGTTGAGGGGATGAAAACAATACTATCTTTCGGTTCTCAAAGATAAAGCTGTAACTATTTCGACGACCATCATGCATCACACTGCGATCATATTGCCATGGTGTTCCCAACAGTAGATGACTAACATCCATCAGAGCAACATCACAGTAAATTTTATCTTTGTAATGTGAACCGATCGAGAATGACACCAGACAGCGATGCTCAATCCGAATCTCCACTCCCTGTTTCAACCATGTAAGCTTGTAAGGCGCAGGATGGTCTTCTCGCTTCAAACCCAACTTTCGAGCCGCATCTTCTGCAATCACATTACGACAACTCCCTGAATCAACCACGAACCGACACACCTTCCCTTTGATTGTGCAGGTAGACTGAAATATGTTAGTACGAAGCCACGGTTCTTCAAGCACCACCGGAGCAAGGCACACATGCCTTAGCATTAAGGACGGGCTGGTATCTCCATGATGATGGTCTTCAGGTACCTCACTATCGAACTCGTCTTCATTATCATCTGCAGCATCGTCTTTATCCCACTTGGTTTCATCCCCAAACAGCCCTCTCCGAGTTTGCTTTGGGCACGCTGTTTGCAGGTGCCCAGGTTCCCCACAAGCAAAGCATCGCAGAGCATTAGGTTGAGAGGAGCGACGAAGAGTTGGCTCCGTGCCTGAGTTAGCCACCGGAAGGGTATTAGAGGTAGTAGCTTCGGTGGTGTCTTTCTTGTGTGCTTGTCCATGTGAGCCCTCACTCGTCGCCGTCCCTGTCATGCGCGAACGAGAAAACCCAGAATTCCACCCTGTCACCGAAGATTTAAACTGTTGTTCAAAAGCCACTGCACGTCGATGAGCTTCCGAGACTGTATCAGGATCAAATTGAGCCATGGCAGACTGAAGCTGAGGTCGTAAACCACTGATAAAGCGAGAAACCAACTGCACCTCACTATCATAAATCTCTGTTCGCGTTAACAAGAGCGAAAATTCTTCGGCGTATTCATCGATGGTGCGAGTACCCTGTCGCAAGTTTTGATGGCGAGTGTACATCGTCCTATCGAAATTATACGGAAGAAAGCTTTTCTTCAAAGCTCGCTGTAATTTTGCCCATGTTTTAATTCGTTCCTTTCCCAACCGTGCTCGAGTTGTTTTCAGTTACATCCACCAGGCGGCAGCTTTGCCACGAAACTTCGTCGCCACCAGTGGTACCTTTCTATCCTCGGGCACCTCCTTGAATTCCAGAACTTCCTCCACCGCAACCAACCAATCGAAGAGTTCTTCTCCACGCACACCACCATGGAACTCAGGGATGTCTAATTTGAATCCTGTTTCCCATCTCCGATCATCCTGCTCAACTACACGATTACCACCACCTCGACGCCGGCGAGGAAAATTAGCTGCGAACGGGTTGTCTTCCTCCACGTCTGCTTCTTGTGCCACACGATCCTGTTCGCGCTGATGAAGAACGGTGTCGGTCAGCTCTTGGATCGAGTTTTGAAGCATGGTCTGGAAGTTCTCTTGCATCGCTACCAGCGTACGCCGCAGCTCTGCCCAATCGTTCACAGCTTCGTCACGTTTAGGAGGCATGGTAAAAAGAAAATTTTCGCAGGAACGACAAAGCTCTGATACCAAAACTGGCGTAGCGAAAGGTTCTCAAGGGAAGAGTTGATCAATGTAAGCTTCGATTAACTCCGAAAAGTAGAAGAACGTAATTGAGCAATCGACTTGGAAGAACTAATAAGGCTCTGAAAAGCTCTGTTTATTAATTCTCTAAGTCTGACGAACCTTTACAACTTAAGCTCGTTTAAATAACAACGAAAAGAAAACCCTAAAGCAATTCCTAAAGCAATTAGAAGAAAGGAAATATGTTAAAATCATAATAAGTATCTTAACTTAACCAAATAACTTAAGCAAAAAGAAATAAGGAAAATCCTAAGTGAAGATGCGCTACATCACATCAGCCCAGCCAATAAACGACACTGACCCCTAAATCCTGGAGTCAGGGACCTAATAAGTTCTACTAACCACACATTATCCACCCAAACAATCAATTCATTCTTTTAATTAAGTTCCTTCCATTATCTAAAACTGCACATTCATTGTTATCCAGTTTTTATACAAAAAGAACATGAAACAGGTTATGTCACACAAACCATGTTTTAGGGTTCTATAATCCCAGATTAATATTCAGATTTATTATGTAACATTCCACCATCAACCAGCAATCATCAACAAACAGGCAACATGGATCCAAGTCCTAATCAGATCTAGCAATCCTAACAAACAGATCTAACCTGGTTTAAAAAAGACTAATTAAAATAACCATGCATATGAAAGAGAGAGTGAGGGTGAAGGTAGAAGTCTTCACAGATGCCTTTCTGGAAGAATATACACTTTTTCCTCCTCTTTGGACAGATCTAGACTCCCGGCACAAACACGGCGATAACTTCTGGCACAAATCTCCGATCTACATGACATCGGTCTTCTTAGAAAGCTGACTCTCGGGGCTTCAATTTGATAGGTATGTCGTTGCATGAATCCATACGGTGCGCCAAGAATTTGTCTTGGAAGTTGGCGGCCGATAGGAAGAAGAGGGTGACGAAAATGAAAAGAAAAAGAAAGAGGCTAGGGTTTTGTCTTTGCTAAAAAGTTTAGAAAAAGATTAGGGAATATATTTACAGCTAGGGTTTAGTTTAATGGGCTGGGCTAATGGGTTTCGCAGGAATTAAAAAGAGATTAGAAAATTTTGATTAAAAGAGAATGGTTTAATTAAATTAAACCGGATTAGAAGTTGGTAACAACCGACATTGGGAGGTCGGGTTGTTACAATCTTTCCCCCTTTTACAGAATTCGTCTCTGAATCCTAGGAGAGAAATTCCTGTAAGGAAATTCGAAATGCTAAAGCCCAAGGGAAATAAAAGCACAAGATACAAGAGGGAGCTTGGTCGCAGGAGGAGAAGGAAATCAGAATTGGAATCAGAAATGAAATCAGGAAATGGAACCAGAAATGAAATATAAAAAAAGGGAATCAGAAATGGAACCATAAGAGCATGAGCATTAGAGGCCCTTAACAAAAATTGAGTGGGTTGCATAATAATATTTTGGGTTATAATATTAGAAAGGGAGCCCAAAAAAAGAAGGGTCGACCCATAGCTAAGGGTTTTAAGGGCCGAGCCATACTGAAACCCTTGTGCGACGTGTCAAATTTTAATTGGGGGGAGAAAAAAATTAACGGGTTCTCGCGTGTGGATCGAAAATTATCCGAGACTTTGGCATTTTGCGAGAAAAAAAACACCCGAGAGCTCTCTCATGGCGATTTCAATGGCGAGTGCATTCGAATTCTTGTCGGAGCAAATCAACGGCGCTTTTGACTGTTTTCCGGCGGATTGGGTCCTCAAATCGTGAAGGTTAGTCGTTTTTGAGGGATTCTTTGTGTTTTATGCGTATTTGTTATGTTTTCTTCGAAATTAGGGTTTTGAATCGGGGAAAAAAATTGGGGGTTTTTTGTGTTAGAATGAAATTTGGCTAATCTCTGTGAACAATACTCCTGAATATAGTTGTTTGAAAGTGTTTACATGAAAATATAGACTGTATTTTGTGTACTGAGGTATATGATCGGTTCTTTGTATTTCGGTGAAGTATTTTTGAGTTGTAATTCTTTTGTTAGTGATGTTTATGATCGGTTGGTGATGTATATGATAGGTTTTGTTTAGTGTATGCATATATATATCATGTTAGTTTGATGATGAAGTTGAAGTTCAAGTATATGATCGGTTGTTTGTAATCGGTGAAGATAATTTAGAGTTGTAATTCTTTTGTTAGTGATGTTTATGATCGGTTGGTGCTGTATATGATAGGTTTTGCTTAGTGTATGCATTTATATCATGTTATTGTTAATGATGAAGTTAAAGTTCAAGATGAAAATGTTGTTGTGAATTTTTTTTTCGAGGGTAAATGGAGAGAGAGCACTAGGGATTCTTGATGCTGATGTTACTTCCTTCTAAACACAGCTCAAGGTAAGTCTTCTTCAAACCAACAAACTTGTAGTTAGCATCTTGTTTAGGGTTGATAGTTGCTTTCTTTGTATATGATCGCTTAGTTAGTATTGATTGTAAATGGTGGTAGTTGTTTTGTTAGGTGAAGAGTAATGGTTTAGTAATAGGTGGTGCTTGTTTTAAAGAAACATTTAGTGATTTAAAAGCTGTCTCAAAATCACATCAAACATCTCAAAAATTAACTATTAAGCTAACAACTAGTAGCTATCATTAAAGCTGGTTATTAAATGTACCAAACTCTTAAAAAACAGCACAAATATAAAAGGAAACCAACACTAACTCCTTAACAACTCTCTTTCACAACTCTCTTTCAAATATAGAATTCGCTAAAATACTAACTCTTTCATAAACTTCTTAAACACTTCTCTTCTACAATAACTCTTCTCTTCACAAACTTTTGTTCAAACTCAAACGCTTGTCTTTCACAAACTTGTCTTTCACAAACTTCTTAAATCTCACTCTTCTCTTCTAAACACTTGTCTTTCACAAACTTCTTAAATATCTCTTGTCTTCTTACGATCTTTTTTCTTAATAAAGCATTTTACTCCTTAAAACCGACCAACATGGATTCTATGAACCCAAACGGTAGCTCACAGGGGTTTGTGAACCTCTTAACAAGTCAAGAGAAACACACACTCTGTTTTTTTGCAGAGTGTAGACCCTGGTTCATCTCAAGTCCCAATTTTTTCAACCCAACTCTTCTCTCACCCGAGTCCTGCAGCTGATGAACGAAAAAAGAGGAGGAAGTGGTCACCTGTAGAAGATGTTGTACTGATAAGTGCATGGCTCAACACCTCCAAAGACCCAATCATCAGCAATGAACAAAAAGCTGGTGCTTTTTGGAAAAGAATAACAGAAAGTTTCAACAACTCTAAGAACATGGCGAATGAACCAGATAGAGAGGTTGGTCAGCTCAAACATAGGTGGCAGCGTATTAATGACCACGTTTGTAAGTTTGTAGCTTGTTATGAAACCGCTTTGAAGCAGCAAAGCAGTGGACAAAATGAGAACGATGTGATGAAGGTAGCTCATCACATCTTCTACAATGATCACATGTTCAAGTTCGACCTTGAACATGCATGGCGAGAACTCAGACATGACCAAAAGTGATGCTCTGTTTCTGCTGCTAAAGAAGGTGGAAAGCCAAAAAGAAGGAAGGTTGATGCAACTACAGCTCATTCTGAAAGCTCACAAACCCAAAGCCTTGATGTAGAAGAAGGCTTCGAAGGAAGCAATAAAGAGAAACGGCCACAAGGAGTTAAGGCGGCGAAGGCTGCAAAGAAGAAGGGAGTGGGATCATCTTCCAACAAAGAAGGAGAAGTTGATATGAAGAATGCTGGCATATGGTTGTCCGGCTGACGCGGTTGATGAATATCTCCGTCTAGGTGCAAGTACTGCACTGTTATGCTTGAAAAATTTCACTGAAGGAATAATTCAATTGTTCGGAGATGAGTACCTAAGAAGACCCACGCCCGCAGATCTTCAACGATTACTCAACGATGGAGAAAGACGGGGATTTCCCGGGATGATGGGAAGCATAGATTGCATGCATTGGGAGTGGAAAAATTGCCCTACCGCTTGGAAAGGGCAATATACACGTGGTTCTAGAAAACCGACAATTGTCTTAGAGGCGGTACCATCACAAGATCTTTGGATATGGCACGCATTTTTGGACCTCCAGGTACCCTAAACGATATTAACGTACTTGAACGTTCACCTGTTTTTGATGACATATTACAAGGTCGAGCTCCTAAAGTTCAATACTGGGTTAACGGACACAAGTATAAGATGGGATACTACCTCACCGACGGAATTTATCCCAAATGGGCCGCTTTTATACCAACTATTGCACTGCCTCAAGATGATAGAGCATCATTATTTGCCACTACCCAAGAATCTGCCCGAAAAGATGTCGAGCGTGCTTTTGGAGTTCTACAAGCTCGTTTTGCAATTGTAAGAAATCCAGCTCTTTTCTGGGATAAGGAAAATTTTGGCAATATTATGCGTGCATCTATCATATTGCATAATATGATAGTAGAAAATGAACGGGATGACTACACTCAGTATAACATAGAAGAATTCCAACAAGGGAAGTCAAGCAGAACTTCACAAGTGGACAATGAGTACTCTACAGAGACATCGTCAAACATCAGAAACCTTATCAGGATACGAAATCAAATCCGTGATCCACAAATACATGAACGCTTGAAGAAAGATCTAGTTGAAAATATATGGAACAAATTTGACAATTATCAAGAGTAGAATTACAAGTTTTACAATTGAAATATCTGTATTTTGAATTTTAATAATTTCATGTACTGTTCTATAATCTTGTTTAAAATGTAATGAATGTTTAAATTAAAAATTAAGTTAACAAATTTTTTTAACTAAGCAACTCTTACCCAATCCACTAATGAAACACTTGATGCTAAAAGTTGCTTAATTATCCTTAAAGCAAAAAAAAAGTATTATATTAATGTTAAGCAACTTTCTCTCAATCCCTCTAATGCACATGCTCTAAGGAACCATGTGATGGGCCTCAGGGTTGCTTGTCTTTTGCAAGCCCATTGGTCCAGAGTTTTAAATTTATAAAACCATAATGTCTGAAAGGGTACAGATGTACGTTGTAGAACTTAGGGTGTCGATCCACAGGAAATATATCTAATCTGCAAGGAAACACCAAACTGGGATAGTAAGCAAAGTCATAAACTCATGAGGGTTTGGGGGTTTTTCGTTATGAGATCCTAAACTAAACCTAATCTAATATTTACGGGAAATAAAATGCAATGCAAATGAGTTGCTAAAAGAATATCTCAAGGGTGTTGGACTCAAACTAGACTCATAGTGGGCGATTAAGACTTCTTCAGTTTACTCTAATCGATGTCAAAGCATTTCCAATTAGCTTCTGGGTGATTTATCTTCATCTATTTATGGGATCTGCATGGAACTGGAATAGACATGTGTATGATTACCCAACTCTCGCTATCTTAATAAACTAATCTCTTAAATCTGACAATTAACTCTCACTCTCATGCCAGGAATAAGATCATGCATTAACTATTGAATTCGTTTGCTTACATCTTCTCTACAGGTAGCTCTCGACTCCTGTAGCGATGATAGTAGGTTTTTAGTCTACTAAGGTCAATTAACCTCTTGTGTTGTAGTACTTGAGGGTCAATCCAAATGGATATTATCTAGACACAAGAACTATGAAGATCAATTCTTAATCCAAGTCTAAAGAAACAGGTTGGTGATTAAGTCATCTAAAACATAAAACAATCAAGAACAAGTAGTTATTAAGAATTAAACAAGCAAGATTAGCAAACAAAGACTCAAATTCAAATAAAGAAAAAGCTAAACCTCTAGATGTGATCATTGATCATGGTGCTTTCAATGCTTAATTTATGATGCTAAGATAACAATGCAACACTTGCAATTCATTAGTCTAGACTTCCAAAACAGATTCATTCATTCCCATGACATAAATGCCTTTGCAAATAACTTAATCAAGAATAATTCTCATTAGTGAATAAGCAATTAACAAGCATAAGGTTCCAAGTCTAATATGATAAAACAGCCTCTTTGTGCATCAAAATAAGAGCTAAGAAAGACTGAATCTTATACAGAGAGATAAAGCAAGAATCACATGATCTCAAATTACAATCAACTTAGAACTCAAAGCAAAACCATTTCTTTTCCAAGACAATGATCACTATACTAATCAACATTCAAACCTAACTCTCATAAGTGGTAATGATGATCAATATGCATTAATAAACAGATATAATATGTCACATATGCTTCAAACAAACATTCCCATAGTATTTAAAACATAAACCCTTAAGTTAGCTCATTCAGGCGTTTCATCAAACACTTTTGGTGCATGAAATACCTATGAACCCATATTTCACTTTCTCAAGGAAATTTGGCATTAGGAGCAGCTAACTAACGAAAGGAAATGAGAATCTAGGACATAAACATTATAAATCAAATATCTAAGCACCGTAATCTATACATCTAGAAGCTTAAAAGAGGACTGGCTACTCACTAATCATGATGAACACACCATTTCCTTTGCAAAAGGTGATGTTAATCATATTAGAAGCAAATATAAGAAGAAGAGATGATAAGAAACAGCTTTAGATTGATTAAATCATTCAGATATCTCTTAACAAACTCGTTTTTGACTAAAGAGGAAAAGAAACTCAAAAAGGAATAAAAGATACTTAGGGTTTTTTGCCAAAAATCTATTTATAATGAAGAATTTGGACCGGGTCAGCCCAGGACAAACTGGGTACTGACCCGGTTCAGTTGGGTCTTGTGCCTGATTTGCAAGATGGTCACGCCCCTGTCCAAGTCGCACGCCCAAGTGGGTCTTATTTGCGAACACATGTGCTAGATGGTTTCTCTTCATGTCCAACACGCACACCCAAGTCCAACAGCTTTCTGGACTTAGCCAAATTTGATTTTGGAAGTCTCTACCCTGTTCAGAGTCTCATTACACGCATCTCTAAAGTTTCAGCTTGCTTCTAGAGTATGAAGCTTCATGGGTGCGAGTTAACCAAGTCGCACACCCAAGTCGCAGCATTTCTCAATATTTCGGACCACTCCGCGTTTGAGGCAGCATAGCTCCTGGAATACTGGTCCAATTGGCTTGATTCAAACTCCAGTGGCAAGGCAGCTCAATTATATAGAATGTTGATGAACAGTGCAAGTACATCCAAGGAATGGAAGGGTTCTCGGACGGCTGATTTTTAACATGCACCAGAACCCGGAAAGGGCTTCAGAACCAGTGTTCACTCCGGAAAAGTTATCTCCAAGCTCAGAGCTCCAAATCGGGTGATCTTAAGCGTTCTGAAAAGAAAACTCGAATCTCTTGAATCGTGATGAAGTATCTGGAAACTGAATCGGAGGGAAAGAGCGTCGTCCTGCGTAATCTTTGAAGCACATTAAGATAGGCATGTCTTTTCATGGCTATAACTCTCCACTCACTCATCCGAATCCTTTAATTCCAACTGTTATGGAACCATTACTCAATTCTCTCTAACTTTTCTGAAGACAGCAGAAGCTGAATCGGATGGCACGGTTCCCCGAACATGCAATCTTTGAAATGTATTTGCACTGGTAATTTTTGGCCGAGAAGCCTAAGCAACCGGTACGTGTTTTAGCCAAGAAATCCTGCCCGCGGGACGGAATTTAGCCAAGAAACATCATCCTGCGGTACAGTGTTTTACCGATGAACTCTAAAATGCATCTTTCACCATTTCTGATCCTTTCTCCACCATTTTAACATCTGGTATCATCTCTCCACTCCAAATAACCTCCAAATGAACCTGTTTAACGCTCCAAACCATGCAAAACTCTCTTGGACCTAATGCAAGATCCTAAGTTCTAAATCAATGCTTAAAAGACCCAAAATGTATGCATATGAGACATGATTTGGACTCAAATATGTACACTAAATGATGCATTTTATGAATATATCAAGCGACTATGGTCTTCTGAAGCTAGGTATGGATGATCTGACACAGCACTCTCGTGGCTCTGGTCGATCCTAGGCTCAGAGAATAGGTCATGAATCTACTCTCATGCAGTATAAACAACTTAGAAGAGATGAGATCCAGAATATGGTTTACAAACTTAGAAATCCTAATCGAACATATATATCTATCGATGACTCTTTAGAAACTTGACTCTCTGGGACAAATCTACATGATGCAAAAAATGATAAAATATATGAAAGAATGCATAAGATGAAACCGAAAAGCTAATTAGATAAACAAGAGATAGAACAATGGATCTAGGGAAGAATCCCCTTCTCCATCATCTAACCCTAAGAAAAACAGAGTTTGGTGGCTCAAAATTCATTACAGGAGCACACACCTCTTTAGGGCTGCTAAGAAATATATTTATAGGTCCTAAGGTCTTCCAGGTCTCATTTAGGGCTTCTCCAAAGAGAAATGACGAAATGGGCTTTGATGTTGGTTCTTGTGGTTCGGCATAGATCTACCGGGGGTGAGAGTCTTCGGAGGCAGGTAAAACACTTGTTTGCCACGGGTGAGAGTCTTCCGGGACTGGTGAATTTGGTCATATTGCTCTTCATGTATCTTTTGATTGCACCGTTGGATCTTGCTGATGTAAAGTGCAATGGAAAGCGGGTTGTCTCCTCTTGAATTTTTCCAAATTTGAGTTGGATCAGACGGTGAGAAAGTCTTCATCTGAGGCTGAACTTCTGACGGCCTAACTCTGAGCTAAAATTTGGATTTCTTCCAATTTGCCATATTTTTCCCTAAGTTTCCTGAAAAGAGCCTTGAAACTAAAAATATAGAGAAATCATAATAATAGTTCCTAAAAATGATTAAAACCTTTGAAAAAGCATTTGAAATCAATGGTGAAAATGGGTACAAATACGGTGTTATCAACTTCCCAGATTTTGTTTGTCCTCAAACAAAACAAGACCCAATCTGGAAAAATATCATCAACTGAAATCATAGGGAACTCAAAAATATCAGTAACCATACTTCTATAGAACACCTAATAGATCATATTGAAAATTTTGAAGATCTGTGTTCAACCATAATGAGAAATACCGATTACCATATGTGTGTCCTATTTCCATTCTCTCTAACTGGTAGAGCTAGTAAATGACTTAAAACTTTGCCACATGCGTCCATAAGGACGTAGAAAGAGTGTAGAGAGGCTTTCCTAAGTCACTTTTACACCAGAGATCGTTCAAATCTCTTAAGGGACAAGTTCCAAAAATTTCAGCAGAAGGACACAGAGGACCTCTATGACGCCTGGGAAAGATTCAGAGACTACCAAAGAGATTTTCCGCACCATAGTTTCTCTGATGAGTGCTTGATGACCATCTTCTACCATAGAGTTAATGAAGAACTAAAGTTCTCTTTCGATACCATCTAGCAACGGAGACTTTTCCACTAGATCTGTAGATGAGGCTCCCGCCTATATCACTAATTTAGCTGGAAGTATCAGAAACAGAAGACTTCTAACCCAATCTAGATGTCCTAAGATCAAGGAAGAGGAATCATCTGTTGATAAAAGAATGCCTAAATCAGATTAGGGAAGACATCCAAAAGATCCTTAGTAAGATTGGTTCGATTAATAATCCTGATGATGGAAGCAAACATAACGAGTCCTACATTGAGAAGATGAACAACTTTGAGGTGGAGATGAACTTCAAAACCCAGGATATGATGCAAACTGCTGATGTTTACCAGATTGAAGAGACTGAGCAGAACCAA